CTAGGGTCAAATCATTTTTTCCCTGCTTAATTTAAAATATTATCCCTGATATATTTATTAATTTTTTTTAAAAATCTTTATTGTTGAAAATATACATATGTCTCCTTTTTTCCCCTTTTGACCTTTTCTAGCCTGCCCCCCCCACCCCCCTGCCACAGGCCTTCACCACCCTATTGTGGGTGTCCACAGGTTATGCATATATGCATACAAGTTCTCTGATTGACCCCTTCCCCTCCATCCCCCCATCCTCTTTCCCCCCCGCCTTCCCTCTGAGATTCCTCAGTCTGTTCCATGCTTCTGTGTCTCTGGATCTGTTTGATTCTACTACTAGCTTTGTGCCCTGAGGTCACAAGTTTCTTAAACTGCTGGAGATTCCTTTGTAAAATTCGGATATTATGGATCACATGGGTTGTTGTGAGGATTAAATAAAGTAAGGTATTTAAACTTTTCATAGTGTGCCTGGCACATAATAATTGCTCCATAAATGTTTGCTATTATTGGAACACCAGAGTAAATACCTTCATTCAGAAATGAAACTTTGTGTATAATACTTGGTAGTGATCTCAGGTTTAATTTGTAGGTTTCTCTGTGTTTCTATATTTCATTATAACTCTCCAGCTAAGAATAGCACTAAGTTGACATGAAGTTATCAATTATATTTAAAGAATGTGACTCAAAAGTCGAAGTGGATTACAGAGAGCAAAGAATCTAAAAGTCTCTAGCAAATTTCAGACTAAGAAGGAAGAACACCTTCTATATATATAGTAGTTAAGAGCATCAGCGCTGGGACCAATTGCCTGGATTTGTATTCTGACTCCACACTTCACTAACTCCATGACCTTGAGTAAACTACGTGACATCTCTGTGCCTCAGACTCTTCATCTGTCAAATGGTGATAATAAACTCAGCAAGTTTATTGATTTGTTTGTTTATTTTATTGTTGACGGTATTACAGGTGTCCCCTATCTTTCCCCGCTTGGTCCCCCTCCACCCAGCCCTGCCCCACCACAGGCCTTCACCACACTATTCTCTGTGTCCATGGGCTACCCATAGATATATATAAGTTCTTTAATTAATCTCTCCCAGTCCCTCTCATGCCCCTCCCCTCTGAGATCTGAAGTATATATGGTCTCTCTCTCTCTCTCTCTCACACACACACACACACACACACACACACAAGGTCATGTTTAATAGAGTTTAGATGCTGTAACTGAAATATGCAAAGTGCTTAGAAAAATGCCTTGCACAAAATAAGCACTATAAAAGTGTTTACTGTTGATCTCTAGCTTGTATATATGTAGATTTTGGGAGTGTTTTGTTTTGAAGGGAAAATAAATCAGAAATTAGATTTTTTAATTTTTTTAGCCTCAAGTTCAATATACTGCAATATAGGTCTGTGGTAACTTCAAGTTTTTCTTAATAAAACTACAGCTTTCTTAAAAATATAATTGGTGTTTCATTTAAAAGCAGAGTTAGTACTCTTAAGATAGTCTAGTCTTTCATAATGTTCTAGAAAAAAAGAAGTCCCTTTTCTACTGGCAGAAATCTCTATGCCAGCACATATGAAGGATGCTCACTTTGTCATTGACAAGCTCTGTGGTCTTCTGTGTGTTGATACCATTGACCTCTCTGTCCTTGAAATTGCCTCTTTCTGGGCAACTTGACATAGACATGGCACTGCTGTGGGTCCCCTGCCTGCCTCCCAGACATTGCTTCTCTGATTTTCCAGGCAATTCTTTTGTCGTCTGACCCCCCGCCCCCCGACATGTGTGCCAGCACCCACGCCTTAGCATCCTTTCTGCAGACACTTCCTCGGGACCCCCCCACCCCCCCACCAAAGGCTTCCCCTTTCCTCTCTAAGCAGAGACCTCATCTGTTCTATTCTCCCACATTAAATCCAGCGTTATAGTCCCAGAAGCCTGCTAAAGCTTCCACTTGAATTTCTCATTGCCACACTGAAACCAGACTTCCATTTCTTCAAAAATGTTTCCCCTACCCATTCTGCTGTGTTAGGGTTACCATGCTGCGTGTAAGCCTTTGCATTAGCATGTTGCTCCTGTCTCTTGATTTTTTTTTTCTTTCTGATTTGGACTTACTGCTACCTGCCATTCTAGGTCAGAACCTTGTTCTTTAGCAACAGCATAGTTTCCCCCATCCAAGATTTCACTTTCTACAGCTTCAGTTAACCAAGGTCAACTAGGGTCCCAACATATTAATTCCAGAAATATACAATTCATGTTTTACATTGCACACCATCCTGAGGAGTGTGATGAAGTTTCAAGATTCCCACATCATCCCACCCAGGATGTGACTCATCCCTTTGCCAAGTTTTCCACACAGTAGATCCTCCCCACCCATAGTCAGGGAGTAGCCTTCTTGGTTATTAGATCAACTCTAAGTATCACAGTGCTGTTGTTCCAGTCACCCTTATTTTACTTAATAATGACCCCAAAGTGCGAGAGTGGTGATGCTGGCAATTCAGATATGCCAAAGAGAAGACACAAGGTTCTTTCTTTAAGTGAGTTAATAAGGAAAGAAGTTGTATCCTGAGGTTGCTAAGGTCTACAGTAAGAACCAATCTTATCTGTGAAACTAAAAGAAGGAAAAATAAATTTGTGCTAATTTTGCTAGTGTACCCTAAACTGTAAAAGTTATGGCCACAGTATGTGACAAGTACTTAAAATAGAGAAGGTATTAAATTTATGGGTGGAAGATATGTTCTGATTGATGGCAATGTGGTGCACCAGAAAGCAATGAGTCTACAAGAAGACTTCAGCAAGGGATCCTCTGAAACCAGTGACCACATTCACATAACTTTATTTTAATATATTTGAATTTATTTCAGAGAGAGAGAGAGAGAGAGAGAGAGACATCAATGATGAGAGAGAATCATTGATCGGCTGCCTCCTGCATACCCTGAAACCCGGGCATGTGCCCTGACGGGGAATTGAATACCGGTTCATAGGTCGATGCTCAACTACTGAGCCACACTGACCAGGCCACATAACTTTTATTAGGGTGTATTGTTACAATTATTTTGTTTTATTAGTAGTTATTGTTCATCTCGTACTCTGCCTATGTATAAATTAAACATTACCACAGGTTTGTGTGTATAGGAAAACACAGAGTATATACAGAGTTGTGGACTATCCTCTGTTTCAGGCATCTGCTGGGGGTGCTGTGTCCCCTGCAGATCAGGGGGACTGCTATGCCTCGTAGGAGATGGCCCCACAGCAGGTGCTTGCCTTCAGGTGCACTACTTCCAGGTGCTCTCCTGCAGGTCATTTTCCACAGCACCGACAGGCTGATAACCTTCCCTTCTACTAGCCTTTTACCCTTTCCAGAACTTTCCTGTTTCCACCTCTATAAAGTGCAGGTACATTTGTCTTTCAATTCTTTCTGGAGTTTGCCTTTAAAGTATGTTACCACCCCAACCCCCCAATATGAACCGTTGGAATGTGCTCAGGTTAGTCCTCCCGCTGTGAGCCGCGCGCACACCTTGTACTCACCATGCCAGCCCTGTAGCTCCCCCTGCTCTGATAAGTATGTGTCAACTTTGTTTTTCAGGTCTTCGAAGACAACTGCTCTCTAAACATTCTTAAATTATATTTGAATCTAACATAGTCTCTGGAACAGTAAAAATATAAAATTACATAAATGTAAAAAAACAACAAAGAAACAAACAAACAAACAAAAAACACTATTACCCCTGAATGAAACCAAAGAGAAAATATGCTACTCAATCTTCTTATTTTACAAATGAGTAATCTGAACATCTGAGATGGGTTATTTAAAAATTTAATAGTTATATATTCAGATTTGTGGTTACCTTCTATTCATGGCACATGGTCCGTTGCTATTTACATTGTTGATATAAAGTTTTATCTAGAATAGATTTGCTTTTGATTAGAAATATTAATTTAGAGAAATTATAAGTAACTAATAGTACTGAAGATAAGAAAATACGGCAAAAATGTGAAAGTAATAAGAGATAGGATTGAAAATATCGCAATGCATTGATTAGAGTTTGTGCTTAATAAATGATTGTTGACTGGCTTGTTGAAAGCTCACACCTGTCTCCCTACTCCCTAGCAAACAGCCTTCACCCACTTACAGCAGACAAGTACTTTTCATGGCTACATTTTCAGCATAAGGTCAAAGGAAGAGAAGAGTAACAGGTCAGCTGGCAAAACTGTTTCTGGCCCTGTAGGCTTCCTTTAACTTTAGCTGAGCTCACTGGAGGTGGTGCCTACGGAGCCAGTGCCCTAGTCTGCAGACAGGAGTGTGGACTTCCTTTAGCCACCTCGCTCTTCCTAGAACTCTCTTTCCCACACAAAGTTTAACTGGGCAAGTGCAACACTACAAACAGCATGAGTAAAGAAAGTGAAGTGGAAATTCCCATATGCACAGGAATATTTGTAAAAGGGAGAGAAGACTACATTCCGCATGCTGACTCATTGCTCACATGCCTTCTCTTATTTTGGAAACTTTAAGAGCTACCCTCAGTAGCTTAACCTCTGAGTGGTTTCCGCCAGCACTTTAGACCTTCCTGACCAGGCTCACTGAATTACAGGCCCCCAAGTGAACTCTCTGCGGAGAAACAGAAATAGGCTGTGGCTGGAGTCTGCTTACAGACGGGCCTAAAAAGCTGAAATCTAAAGCGCAAAGAACTCTGGATACTGGGAGAAATGAAAAATGGATCCACTGTGCAATGTAATTCTGATACAAGCTACCTAGAGTTAGGTCGGGTTTCACAGGTTAAGGGCACAGTCCCTGCAAGACTGCACTTCAGACACCAGCTGCAAGTTTGGTGGTCCCCAGGCTACCCACACTTCCGACCAGCTGGCTACAAATTCAGCCTTTCCCACAGCCCCTCAGGTTTGAGAATTTGCTAGTGGTGATGTAAGAAGTCCAAACCTGTAGAAAACTTCTTAAGAATATGTTTTGCTTGATAATAGAGAAATAGGAAGGGAGAGGGAGAGAGAAACATCTATCTCTGTGGGCTGCCTCCTACACACCCCCTACTGGGAATCAATCCCCCAACCCTGGCATGTGCTCCTGACAGGGAATCTAACCTGTGACCTCTCTGAGCCACACCTGCTAGAGCCTGTGGAGAATTTTTATAAGAGTTTATTTGAGCCAAACTGAAGACACATGCTGGGGAGCGAGCTCTCAAATGCTCCAGAGAATAACAGTTTTGCAGCTTCTTTTATGCATTTGAAATTAAGGGAGGAATTTAAGGAAGACTCTATGGAGTGGGGGGGAAGCAAGAAGGGGTGGTGAATTACAGATTATAGAATAGTTAACAGGATTATGTGCTTTTTGCAGCTGGTTATGGCTTATTTCAAAAGTGTGTTAACCTAGATGCACAGAAACAATGGACAGGCCTTGCTTAAGGCAAATATGGGGCCTGACTACCCACCATGACCTGCCCAGTTAAGAATCTATGATCATGTCACCCTGTGAGGTCACTTTCCATAGAACCCCCCGTTTATTTCATTCACACTAGAACAACTCTTTGAATTTAAGAAATTACTGTAGTTAAAATTAAAATTTTACTACAAAATATACAAATCAGAACCAGCCAAGTAAAGAGGCACATATGGCAAGCAAGTCTGGGAGGGTCCCAATCATGAAGCTTTTGTTCCTCAGGAAAGATTGCCTTCCCAGCACATCAATGTGCATCACCAACCAGGATGCTTACCCAAGCCCCAGGGACCAGAGTCTTTCTGGGGCTTCATTCTGTAGGCAGGATTGATTGAATCACAAGCAATGTGATTAAACTCACTCCTCAATGCTCCTTCCCTCCAGGCTGATATCCAGGCTCAGAGGTCATGTTGGTCTTTCTGTTGAGGCCAGTACCCATCCTGAAACTACTTAGGGGTTCCAAGTATATCACCTCATTAGCATAATGTGGTCCCAGGGGAGTACCATGAAAAAGAACACTTCTATTACTTGCAAAATTCTAAGGGTTTAGAAGTTCCCTCTCAGGAACTCAGGACAAAGACCAAACAAAAATGCTATTAAACAAACAACACACAGAAAATAGAAGATGAATTGGATCTATTTAAGCCATGAAAAACTAACACAAAAAAAATATGATTTTTATGATGGAGAAACCACGGAAAAATGTCACTTGAATGTAAAATGAGGGCCATTAAACATCATTAGATCTTTAGAATGTGTTTTTCACTCACGGGTTCATTTATACAGCATTATTTATTGAGTGTCTACCTCCTATGCTAGTCAATGAAGGTATACCATTACACTATCCTTGTTTAAAAAATAATAATTTTATTTGTATTACATTAAAAAGAGGAAGGATGGTGCTGAGGGGTGGGAGTGGCTGGGGAGAGGTCAATAGGGAGGAGGGAAGGAGACATATGTAATATTAAACAATAAAGAATTTAAATTAAAAACATAAAAAAGAGGGAGAATGAACTAGTTGAAATTATTTGCTTGTTTTAACTACAATCAAAATGAACCTGAGTTCTGGGATAATCATTAATTTTTCCTTGTCAAATATGATGTTAAGAGAGCCCCTCAAATACAAAGCATTTGTCGTCAAGTCTATATTGGAGAGGAATTTTGGGAAGTGGGGGGTTATAGGAGAAATGTATATGTTGTTTGTTTCACCAGAAGGCTACCATTTGGTCGTATGTTTTTAAACAAAATCAAAAAGTGCTTTGAAATGCGATGTTTTTTAAACTGTTCTTTTTTTGCTTTCCTGTAATTGGAGCAACATACTAATTTCTACAAGTTGTGACTACTAACAGAGAGCAATCACCTCACAGACTTGTACCGGAGAGACGAAACCATCCAGGTGACAGGAAATGGCCACGTGCAGAGTCCCCGCTTCCCAAACAGCTACCCCAGGAACCTGCTTCTGACATGGCGGCTGCATTCCCAGGAGAAGACAAGGATACAGCTGGCCTTTGACAATCAGTTTGGATTAGAGGAAGCAGAAAATGATATCTGTAGGTAAGTGGAGAAAAATGTCCAGTTTAGAGAACTCTTCCAAGGTGAAAAATAAAAGATGAATTGAAAAGCATCACATTAAACTCCCCTTGTGGGCTCTTTGGACCTGCTCAAGATGCACCACTTCTTTCTCAAAAAGCCTTATGTCCGTCTTAACGGACAAAATAAACTGGGGCATGGACGGTGCTGTGGAGGGGCTAGTAGCCTCACTTTCACACCTGTCAGAGCCAGGCTGCATGGCCCCCAGCCCCCAGAGAAGGCAGGAGTCTGCAGGCCGCAGTCTTGGCCAGCCTACAACAGCCTCTGTGAGTAGATGGATGCATCCCATAACCCTACATCACCTGCAGCCAAGGCTTGTGGCTCTGGCCCAAGTCAGCCTTGGGCTCAAGGAGTGTGTACCCTACTTGGCTCCAGGAACTAATCAGACTATGTAACCTCTGCACAGTCACGGTTCCCGTAGCACTGGGAGAGGGTGACGGTGAGGACCTACAGCAGTGATGGCGAACCTATGACATGCGTGTCAGAGGTGACACGCGAACTCATTTTTTTGGTTGATTTTTCTTTGTTAAATGGCATTTAAATATATAAAATAAATATCAAAAATATAAGTCTTTGTTTTACTATGGTTGCAAATATCAAAAAATTTCTATATGTGACACGGCACCAGAGTTAAGTTAGGGTTTTTCAAAATGCTGACACGCTGAGCTCAAAAGGTTCGCCATCACTGACCTACGGTGTCAGGCCCTTACCCTGACATCATAGTTTTAAGATCTCAGGTGTGTGTAGGAAGGAAGAGGTGGCAACCCCAGGGACTGTGTGCTCCTCAGATGGTCTGTTTCCTGCAGTTTCTGAGTCAGCATTAGAAGATAAAACCATGGCTGATAATCTCCCTTTTTTGGAATATTTATCAGACAAAGCCCTGGCTGTTGTTTTTTTGAATTGTCTGCTCCACAGCATCTTATTCTCTTAATTAGCATATATAAGACTCAGGGAGGATTTTTCTCTTTTCTGTACTTAACTGCGCACACTTGTTCTGCATTGCCAATGAACTACTGAGCTGCTAAATCCTTCCAGCAGGTTTATTTTTCTTTGAATAATAAAAAGAGGGAGCCTCAAATTTGGCTGTCCTTTGTTGCATGTTTATTATGCTGACAGTTTTTTATTATGTTGCTATGTTTTTCAAGAATAATAGCAGTGACTGTGACTTTTTAGGAGCATAGAGGGTACTGTATGTCCGAAAACAAATTCAAATACATGCCAGAAGAGCCAGTCAGTATTTACAAGGAGGATAAACTAGAGCAGATCTTGTTTCTTTTCAACCTTGAAAGAAAGAACTAATTTTCTGCACTGGAAAAAAAAACAGTTTATGAGAAACACACACACACACACACACACACCATTATTGAAAGCTTATTAAAGGTGATGACACAGAAGGAGAAAGTCAGGTTTCTACTACTGAACAGGGATTTTGATTCTGGTAGTGAGTGAGCTCTTTTGGCATCCTGGCCTCTAAAACAGAAGAAGAGAAAGCTAGAATGGTTAGCTTTTTGGCCCTCCATCAAATCTAGTTGCTCCTCAAAATGTATGGAGAAGTAGAGGAATCAGAGGTGGACAGGGGCGAGAAGAAGGGAAAGACACAGTTCAGAGACTCGCCTCAACGCTCCCTAAGAAACATGGTGGTGCTCTCTTGACATCAGATCCGGAGCAGATGTTACACTGCTGATGTGTCCTCAAAAAACAAGAACGACCTATTGCCATCTTAACAAAGTTTCCAGTAAACGCCTGCTTTGAGCAATAAATATGATTTACACATATTGTATATAAAATGAAATGCAATTGGTTTTCTACCCTCTGGTCCCAAGCCTCCTTGACGTTTACACTGTATTATTTTATTGCTTGAAATAATTCTTTGCTAGTTCTTTTCACCTTCCAAGCACCGTATAAACTTTAAGTAACTAGTTTACACAGTGCCCAAGAGTTGACCAGCTGGGAAAATCATATAAACCTTCTTATTCTGCTCATAAGGTAACTGAGGCAAAGGACATAGGCTCTCATAAATCACTGCCAACAAAATTAAGTCAGCATGCTGTTGTATTTGCCTCCTCCTTAGGCTATTCTGCCCAACAAATAAGAGCTCTGAGGTGCATAAGTAGGACCATAAAGCCATATTAGATTTCCTTTATATTTAGATGTGGTGTTTCTCATGCTTATTCCTTTTGGCAATTGTGACAAATATATATATAAATATAAATATATATATATATATATATATATATATATATATATATATATATATTTAACAGATTTATGCTGTCACAGGAAAGGGACCAGGACTGACGTGGGTCTGCCCTGACACAGTATGGAATGTGAGGTACTTGACTTCATGAAACAGAGGAAGGGCTTAAGATAGAAGAGGCAAGATCAGAGCAACAGGAGTGAGCTGAGGTGGAGCTGCCTTGACCCTTTGGAAATGTGAGGAGGAGTTGAGCCTAGGCATGGCTACCTTGGCCTTTTAGAAGGAAAGTCAGAGAGGTAGAAGAAGTGAGCCAGCTGGGCTGCATGGGCTCAGGAAACAAGTTACACAGGCAAAAGGAGGGCCTTTGGAGACAGGTTCAGGGGTTAGTCCGGGACAAGCTGCCACTTTCTTGCTGCTCCCCTTGTGGCAAGTCTCCTGGTAACCTTTAGAGTTTAGAAAAAGAAAGCAAAGATACATGCCTGAGGAAAGAATGGGGGTGGGGGGCCCAGTGTGCTCCAGGGAGAGCGCTCATTGTGTCCTTTGTCTTAAGGGTTTTTATTTGCTTCTAAAGGCAGGAATTTTAAGGGAGGTCTCCGGAGGATCTCAATAGAATATTCAGCTGCCTCCTAGGTGTGTCCTTTGATATGCTGATGTATCAAAATGAGCTTATAGAGGGATTAGGGTCATTATCTGGTCAGTTTCACCTTCAAAGAATGTCACCCAAGGGGAACCAGGATTGAGGTGAGTCTGCCCCCTGCATGGTCTGGAATGTGGAAACCATTTACTCCTAAGTGTTTTTGGTTAGGGAAGATAATACCTCTTGATTTATTATCTGGCTGTAAATTGCACAGCCATTTAATCATCTGCCTCAGTTTCCCCATTCCATTTGCCCAGGAATTTTCCTAGGTCTTACTCACTGGCTTCAATGCCACTGTTCACTGTGAATGTAAATCATTTGCATCGAGAAGTCATTAGGGGAGAGGTGGAGGGGAGGAGTGAGACACCGATGCCCAGAACCAAAAGGCAAACAGTTCAGCTCATCAAGTACAATGTTCCAAGATGTTGAGTGTCTGGAAATAGTATAAATGGTCCCTAGAAGATGTCAACTCTGTCACTGAAGATGTCCTATCATGTGAGGGAAAGGTGGGATGGGATGGAGGGACCTCGAGAATCAAATGGTTTTATGGAATGTCTAAAGAGGTTCAATCCTGGCACCCCATGTTTCTCTGACCAACGCAAAGGGGAACTTATGATCTTCAGCTCATTCACATCCTCATTTGATCAGCCCAGATATTTACAATATTGATTAGCACACATCCTTACCCAAGTCATATGCTTCCCATTATGATAAAAGTCATATTTTATTATATTATCCTTTCAAAAGACAGTGTCCAAAAAGAGAAATTAGTGATTTATGTTGTGCATAGAAAATGCTGGTCTGTATGCTGTACAGCTACAGATTAGTTCCTTTTTAAAGAAAGTACTGTGGTTAATTAATTCAAAGTGGGATTTGTCTGAAAATCTTTATATAGCAAATATTTGACCATATAATTAGGACAGCATCTTCTCAAATATGATGATAGATTATAGTTATTAGTTTTTCCAGGAAAACCTTATAAGCCAGATGCTAAGAATATAGCCTGTTTTGATTATTAATGATTTTGAGAACAGTCATGGCTAAATGTGTATAAAGGTTCTCTCAGAACAGATTGTGGAAGTTTGTATTTAGAAAACTTAATCTAAAAAATAGCTTTGATTTTAACATATCTGTAGGTTATAATTTTTATTCCGTCTAGTAGGTAATAAGAAATCACATATGTTTGTTTTAACTTATAAGTGAAAGTATGAATTTCAAAAGTCTACTTTAATAAAAATTTGGGTTTTTTTGTGAAATTGATACTAGATATGATTTTGTGGAAGTTGAAGATGTATCTGAAACCAGTACCATTATTAGAGGACGATGGTGTGGACACAAGGAAGTTCCTCCAAGGATAACATCAAGAACAAACCAAATTAAAATAACGTTTAAGTCTGATGACTACTTTGTGGCTAAACCTGGATTCAAGATTTATTATTCTGTTGTGGTAAGTAGCTTAGCCATGCTGTGATTAAAAGAAAACACTGGTTTCATGAAGTATAGAGATCATTTTCTATGATTAAACACAGTGCTGTGAGGGTGAAGAAATTTTATCAATTCCCTTTGGTATACTTTGTTCCTACCGATAGCCAAAATGGTAAAGCTGTTTTTAGTAAGGAATACCATTTTGAATCTATTAAGTCAACTCTTGGGCCCAGACATTTTGGAAAAAAAAAGATAATATAGTGAATAGAAAAAGTAAAATGGTTTCTAGTAAAGCAGATACTATATTACCTTTGATTCAATTGACGCAAGGTAAATGTATAGCCAGATAGAAGGTGAGAGTTGGGCCTCTTTGATTTGAAAGTTGTCTATGTATTTCTGATCACATAAAAGGGTCCTAATGACTTTAGTGTAAATTATCACTCAAATTTGGGAAGGGTCTGTGTTATAATCACACAGCCTCAGAGGTAGCAAGCATCTTAAAGATCATGAGGTGTATTCAGGACCCACGAGTTGGATTCTTGTCTACTACACCCATGCTTATTTGTGATAACTCCTCTACTAAAACACCGCAGTAGTCACTTCCAGCTTTAAGTGGTTTCTGACTGTTAGAAAATGTTTAATGTTTTATCAAGCCAAAATTGACATTGTAGTTAATTCTACTTGTTTGGCCACACACAGTCACAGCCACTTCTTCAGTTAATCGGTCATTCATAAAACAATATGAAGTTCCTGCTTGTTGTTAGACACTCTCATAGGTATAGTAGATACAAAGGTAAGCAGGACAGACAGGTTATTGACCTCTTGGAACTTATAGTTTGATAAATATAACAACTAACATCCCTGGTCAGTATGGTTCAGTTGGTTGGAGTGTCATCCCTTACATGGAAAGGTTGCAGGCTCTATCCCCAGTCGGGGCACATGTTTCTCTTTCACGTCAATGTTTCTCTCTATCTCCCTTTATCTCCCTCTAAAATCAATAAACATATCCTGGGTGAAGATTTTTTTAAAAAGGGGGTAACAATGTGAGAATGATGAGTATTAAGACAGAAGTACTGGGTGTGATAGGTCAAGCCCAGGAGACAGCAGAATAATTTTGCCTATATATTATCTTAAATATTCCTGAGTCCTTTAACTGTGCGTAGTATATTGTTTTTTGTTCTCTCAGCAACATTTTTTCACTCTCATTCAGTTTGTTTTCATCCCCTTTCAAAATGCAGATGGCAAAATAGACCACAGTACTATATATTGGATGAATTTGTAGGGGTTTTCCTCTTATGAGTTAAATTTAGAATAGAAACAAATCTTGCTTTTTGTAAACTAAAGGGTTTTTTTGTTTTGCATTATTGGGAATCATTGAATACTAAATGAATTCTACATCAGAACATTGTAAATGAAGGAAATAGCATGTGGTAACACTGTTCCAGTTTTAATTTGAAAATAATCCATCAAGCATGATTTACATTATTGCAAACTCAGGCAGTGCTGCTCAGCATTAAAATTGAAGGGTGAGCCTTGGGTCTCTACATCTCTTTGCCTTTTAAGGTGTTCATTGACGCATGTGTTCTCAATTGTTCATGGAAAAAAACAGGCTTGGCATGTGATGGATAGGCTTAATGAGGGGCCTCCCAACCCTCTTTTTTTCAAGCACTATTAGTGTGAGTATACTTTTTTATGAAGCTTTGGTTGTGACTAAGTTGAATGGTCCATAAATCAGTTAGAAACACCCCACCACTAACACAATGTCTTTAAGGAGAAGTAATATCTTCTTATAGAAAAGGAAGTACAAGCATGACTTAGGGAAGGGTGAGTACTCCTGTTTGAGGAGCTTTGCAGTGTGGTGGAGGCTCACCACTCATCTCCTAGCCAGTGTGCAGTGGAATTTTGTGCAGTCTCTGTGGTTTGAATGAAAACTATTCGGCATCTCTCCACTCACTCACTCATTCACCTCCACCAGTAGCTACATTCAATTATGTTTTTTAGAAATGTTGATAGTATAAAATTTTTGTGCATTTCTCTACTGGACACTTGGTCTGCACTGATTGAGAATAATCTCAGGCTCTCTTTCCACTCCTGATAGGCTTCGGGCACAAAACATGATCAGTTAGAGTCCACGCGCTTTAGTGGCTGAATTCCAAGAGGTAGAATGAGCTTAATCTTCGGGTGTGTATAGACTCCAGATCTATGTGATTTTTTTTTTATTAAACTCATTTGAGTCTTGCTCTGCAAGGACAGAAGGTCAATTATGGCCTGGCCAATGTATTGGGAGGATCATTTTGTCCATGTTTAAATTTTCTTGGAGAGACAATAAAGCAAAGTTTATTAACTCAAATGTATAGAGTCTGGGTTTAAAACTCAAAATGGGTCAAGTGTAAATTGACAGTACAGAGTGGGATTAAAAATGGCAGGTCTTCTTTAAGTCTGTAAATAATGACTTGTAGAATGTATTGAAGGTCCATAAAACCTCTAGAAGTCTAGGGGTTAGAGGCAGCTGTTATGCAACTGCAGGCTTAAGGAGTGGTAGGTGCTAGGGAAATTGAACCTTAGAATAGCTTTTAGAAGTCAAGTGCTTTTGAAAAATGGCAAGTGGCTATTTGGATCAGGCAAGATCAGCTCCATTGGAAACTCTTGCCTCTTCCTTGCCTCAGTGACTCTCCGTGGGCAAGGACTTCTGACACTGCAGGTTATAGGCGTTCAGGGACACAAGGGCCTCTTACACAAAAGTCACATCTCCATGGTCCATGTTTATAAAGTTTTTGGAATACCAAGTCCAGTTTTCAGTCAATCTTTCATCAAGTTTTCAGTCTAGGAAGACATAGATAATATCAAAATCACTTATTTTTGCTTGAGAATGATTCTTGTATTACAACTAGAGACCTGGTACACGGATCCGTGTACTAGTGGGGTCCCTCAGCCTGGCCTGCACCCTGTCACAATCCAGGACCCCTCGGGGGATGTCGGATTGCCAGTTTCTGCTGAGGGATGTAGAAGTGTGCAAAGTGGCAGGCAGCCTGGGAGGAGTCCAAGCCCTGGCTGGGCACTGCACTGCTCCTGCTCATCCCAGCCCTGCTGCATCTACTGCTGTAGCCCCACCGCTCAGTAGCAGGGCCACAGAGGTAGGAGAGGCTCCCGCCGCTGCGTCTGGGCTCACCAGCTAGGAGCCCGGCTTCTGGCTGAGCGGCACTCCCACTGTGGCAGCACACTGACCACCAGGGGGCAGCTCCGGCGTTGAGCGTCTGCCCCCTGGTGGTCAGTGTGCATCATAGTGACCGGTCAACCAGTTGCTTAGGCTTTTATATATATGTAGATTTTGTTTCATGTGCTTAGAATTCAGTCTCTACCATTTTTACAGCACCTATCACAGTCTCTCCTGGGGCAAGGCAGGTACCACAGCCACATAGGACCAGAACTGTGCTGTAAAGCTCATTTTGGACTGAATAGGGTTTCCCTTGGTACTAATGGTGTGATATTAAACATGTCTCCTACCTTTGCTTTTATATCTATAAAATGGGGATAATAATTGGAGTTGGTGTGAGATTTTAAAATGATCACAAATATTTAGCACAGCACCTAGGAAATAATAAATTTGCTCAATAAATAATAGTGATAATGATCCTACCTCTACCATCACAAATGGTGTATATATCTTTCTTCCAGGTAATTGGTAATGAATTATTTGAGGGTAGGACAAGTATCTTATTCCTGTGGGTATTTTACAGATTGCCTTGTTTATCTATGGCTAGATAGTGCATTTGTTGAATTGACTCTTTTCCCAGAATATATGATTTATAATAAGGATTGCCTAATTTCATTTTCTTGCTCACCTGTTCAGTCTTCTTTTGTGATTTTGCTCCATTGAAGAGAATACACATTTTCAGAGGCCATAATTAAGCTAATGTTATCAAACACTTGTTAGCAAGATGCGATTATCGAAGTAAATTAGGCTCTCCCACCTCAAATCTGTTTTTTGGGGTTATGAATGGATTGATATTTTTATGGAGGCCATTAAGTAGATTATTGGGAAGATGTCCAATTACAAGGGTCCAAAGGATGTTGTGCAAGAAATGAGCAGCATAAGTACGAATTTCAGTTCTGCTGCTCTCTGGCTGAGGGCTCAATTTTTCATCTGTAAAATGTTGATAATATTACCTAAGATTAAGTAGATGTGATGATTAAGTTATATAACTTTTAAGGCACTATGCCTAGCTAAGTTATTAATTACTCAAATACCTGCTGCTCTTATTGTTATCATTATCATTGCTGTTGTCATGAATGTATCAGGCAACCAGTGAACTTCTTGGACCTATACACAAAGCCCAGTGGTTAGTGTGTACTTGTGCACATGTACAGACATCTCGGACCATAATTCACTTCCTCCATCCAACTTAGAAACATTTTATTGTACATTGTAGCAAACACAAAAGGTTGTATATGTTTAATAGAAAATACATTCTCAAGTAAAAAATCAAGGTATTTGAAAGTTATTCAGAAACTTTCCTTCTGTATTAACAAGCTAGTTTATTTTTTACAAAAACACGGTTTTATCAGGCTAGTTACTTAACTATGTATCTATGCAGTTTGAATTAACTTCAGGTGGTGCAGTTAGATTTCCACTGAGATTAAAATTCTACATGAATCATTGTTTTGCATTATAAATGATCATGTAAAATAGAAGAAGATGGAGAAGAAAAGAAGAAAAAGGGGGACTAGAACCCAGGAGTTGAATAAGATCATATCTCAATTATAACAACTTTTACAGATTCTTTTTTATTATTATTACTGATTTGAAAGAGAGAGAGGGGAACATCAATTTGTTGTTCCACTTATTTATGCATTCATTGGTTGCTTCTTGTATGTGCCCTGACCAGAGGTCAAACCCATAACCTTGGCATATTAGGGCGGCGCTCTAACCAATTGAGCTACTGGCCGGCCATGTCCTTTGAAGATTCTGTGTTTCCCTAAAACTTAGCAGTTGATGAAACAAAATCATGGTGGGCAAGTCAT